TAGAACACTGCAAAGAGGGAAAGGGTTTGGCAGGGGTCCAAGCCACCCTAGCAGGGACTGAAGTAACAGAGAACGTGAAGGTACCACGACAATATGCAGATCTCCGTGACGTCTTCAGCGAAAGGGAAGCTGACCAACTACCCTCGCATAGACCCTTTGACTGTCAAATCAACTTACTCCCTGGAGCACAGCTCCCTGTAGGCAAGCTGTACGCCATGTCAGACAGAGAGATGCAGGAGTTAAGAGAGTTCATTGACAAGAACCTGAAGAGAGGGTTCATCAGAGAGTCCAGGGCGGTGGGGGCAGCCCAGTGTTTTTGTGGATAAGAAAAACACGAACAAGCCGAGGCTGGTGTGTGACTTCAGGGCCTTAAATGCAGTGTCAGAACCAGTAGCCTTCCCTATGCCCAGGATTGACGACATTTTGACAAGGGTGCGGAAGGGAAAGATTTTTACAAAGCTGGACCTAAGGGGGGCATGAATGGAAAACCACTATGTTCACCCCTTTAGGGGCATTTGAATATTTGGTTATGCCCTTCGGCCTACAAGCAGGCTCCGCAACATTTCAATCGTTTATGAACCACGTCCTGGGGCCTTTGCTTTACAAGAATTGTGTGGCCTTTTTAGACGACGTGTTGGTGTATTCTGAGAATGAGGAGCAGCATGTGAGAGACGTCAGAGAAGTGTTGAGCAGGCTGCAAGCCAGCCTGCTGTGGGTGAAACTGGAGAAGTGTCAGTTTCATACCAAGGAGGTGGAATTCCTGGGGTATCGCCTGTCAGACAAGGGATTGGCCATGGATCCCGGCAAGGTCCAGGCTGTGCTGGAATGGAAAACACCCAAAACAAAGAAGGATGTGCAGAGGTTCCTAGGATTTGGGAACTTCTATCGTAAGTTCATCCGAAACTTTGCCCACCTGACGGCGCCCATTACGGACTGTCTCAGCAGTAAGAAGAAGTTCGTGTGGACTGAGGAGGCGGAGCGAGCATTTGAGGAACTACAAAGGGCCTTCGCCTCGGAACAACAACTCCTGCATGTGGATTTACAAAAACCGATGAGAGTGGAAACTGACGCATCAGACAGAGCGATTGGGGCGGTGCTTCTGCAGCCAGGCAAGAAGGGGTCAGAGTGGAGACCGTGTGCCTTTTTTCGCGAAAGCTGAACAAATCCGAGAGGAACTACACGGTGTATGACCGAGAACTACTAGCCATTCATGAGGCGTTCCGGAGATGGAGGCACCTGCTAATTGGCGCACAACATAAGGTGCAAGTGTGCACTGACCACAAGAACCTAGAGTATTGGAGGACGGCACGAGTGCTCAACCAACGGCAAGTGAGATGGGCCCAGGAGTTCTCCAAATTTAACTTTGAGATTAGTTACGTGCCAGGCCCAGAGAACATTAGGGCGGACGCTCTCTCACGCAAACCTGAATATTTGGAGGGGAGGGGCACCCGAAGAGAGACATGTCATTCCAGAAGACCGCTGGGTGTGTGGGGCGGCATTGGTGGGACAAAGAGAACTGGTAGAGGAAACAGAGAATGATGAATACGCCCAGAATAAGCTCAGAGGTCTTAGGGGTGATGGAGAGGAACCAGGGGTTTCGAGGAAAGAAATGGAGCTTTGTATTACAAAGGGGCACTGTATATCCCTGAAGGAGAGTTAAGGGGAGGGTACTCAAGCAGTTGCACGACAGCCCTACGGCGGGGCATTTTGGACAACACAAAACCATGTGGTTGGTCACCAGGGAATTTTGGTGGCCTAAGGTGAGGGAAGATGTACGTGAGTATGTAAGAGGGTGCGAGCAATGCCAGCGAGCCAAAGGGAAAGGCGGGCGCCGGCGGGGCTGTTAGAACCCTTACCAACCCCAGAACGACCTTGGGAGGCAGTGTCGATAGATTTTATGACTGATCTGCCGAAGTCCAAAGGGAAAACAGCCATCATGGTGGTGGTAGACCTACTAACAAAGATGTGCCACTTTGTAGCTTGCTCGCATGCAGTCACGGCGGAAGAGACAGCGAAGTTATTTGTAGAAAACATTTTTAGGTTGCACGGGGTGCCATTGAGGGTGGTCTCAGACCGAGGAAAACAATTTACTTCCAGGTTCTGGAGGAAGCTCATGAGCTTACTGCAGGTGGAGGTCAATTTTTCGACTGCCCGGCACCCTGAAACCAACGGGCAGGCGGAAAGAGCAAACGGTGTCCTCCAGCAATACCTGAGGTGTTATGTCAATGACAGAGAGAATGACTGGGTAGAAAAGTTGGCGCTGGCGGAATTTGCCTACAACAATGCCGAGAATGTGTCCACAGGGATGAGCCCCTTCTTGGCTAATTATGGGTGTCATCCCAGGGCTTTCCCAGGGGAGAGGGGAGAGATGGAGCGTCCCGGCAGCCGAGCATTTTGTGGAAGAAATGGAAGCAATCCATCGTCAGCTCCAACTCAACTTAGAAAGGGCGAAGGAAGAATACAAGAGGCAGGCAGACAAGAACCGAAGGGAAGGTGAAACCATAAGGGTGGGAGATAGGGTGTGGCTGTCAACCCAAGGGTTGCCGTTCAAAGGAGGTTGTAAGAAATTAAGACCCAGGAGGTTGGGTCCCTTTGAGGTCATTCAACAGGTCAACCCAGTGGCTTTCAGGCTCCGGTTACCCAACCACATGAAACTGCACCCAGTATTTCACAGGTCGTTACTGTCACCGTACGAAAGGGGACGAGAAGGGCTGGCCACTCGGGGACCGGTCGTAGAAGAAAGAGAATGCAGCAGCCATGTGGCAGAAATCCTCGACGCCAGGTGGAAGGGGGATCAGGTGGAGTATTTGGTAGCGTGGGAAGGAGAACCGGAGTCAGAAAACACTTGGGTAATGGCTGAAGATATCAATGACGAGGTATTGATAGAAACGTTCCATCAAAGGTTCCCAAGGAAACCTCAGCCTGTGGAGAGGTTCCGGAGGGAATACTTTGGGACCACTGATGAAGGGGAGGAGTTGGAAGGATTCCCGGACTCGGAAGGGGAAGGGAGATGGACTCTGAGGAGGAGGTGTACTTCGAGACCAGGAACCGCAACAGGTTGAGAGAAGTGTTCGAGACATCGGAAGATGAAGGAAGTTCATTCCGGGGTTTTGCCTCCTCACCGCCCGTAGATGTGAGAGGGGGTGAAGGGGGCCCTGGAGGGGAGGTGGATGTCAGGGAACTGCCATCGGACGGAAGGGAGGTGAAAGGGCTCACACAGGTTGGGAGAGACGCAGCAGCTGAAGAGGAAACCAACAGGGAGGTGAAAGGGCTCACACAGGTTGGGAGAGACGCAGCAGCTGATGAGGGAACCAGCAGGGGAGAGGAGCTGAGCTGGAGGGATGGCTCAGAGACACTTCCAGCGAAAACAGTGGAGAGGTTTCAGGACCTCCTGTAAGAACACCCACTCCTCGCCGGAAACTGTCACGCAGAGATTCCAGAAGACGTGTTTCCGTTAAGGAGCTTTTATGTTGGAAGCGATTACGAAAGCAACCACTGTCGGAATCTGCTAGTGACTAGAGTAGCCATGTCTGAGCGGCTCTGTCACAGACAGAGGTTTGTGGACTTGAACAAACTCTGAGG